CTTGTTAGGATGATCGAATATCGAGGCTGCAGATTATAGCAAGTGTTTTGGCTTGGATGAATAGCTGTTTGTCTCACCTTATTTATTTGGTACAGAGTATTTGTCAATGTCATTTCATATCTACAGAAAATTCATATGTTATATGGAAGTATATGTATGTGTAGGAGAGAGTGGTGAAGGTCACATGACTGTTTCATCCTATTTGGTGGAGCAGCTTGACTTTTTTCTCTTTCCCCCTTGCTTTTGGTGATGGCTGGGAGTGCAGAAGTTGATTGACAGATGCATGCCAGAAACCCCCATTCTCTTTTTCAAAGGCTACATATGATGGATTGCGATCTTGCAGCTCAGCAGGACACAGGGACCATGCAAGCTGTAATTGGTCAGGTATGGAGTCAGCCATTTCTCAACTCCCCTTTTATTCCCCCCCCCCACAAGAGACTAACCATATGATTCACATAATTCATATTTACAGTACCATCTTTCTGTCCGTAGCTTCAGCTGCAAGCAACTGTGCAGCAGAAAGTGTGGGGAAAAGGCAACAAAAGGCCACATTAATCTGGGCAGGGGCATAAGTGGCTACAAATGTAATTCTGTGCTTTTTTGTAAAAAAAAAAATAATCCCATTTATAATTTTTAGCTAAATGTATATACTACTCTATTCATGTTTGCGCCTCAAATACATACAAGTAAAACAAGCAAAGTGTAAAGAAAGTGCTTGTAATGTTCATATGGGGAGTTATGGTTTCTGTTTTCTGTATTTGTTGTGGATCGACTGTATTCTTTTGGAATGTAGCATGTGGATTTCTATTTTTTTTTCTTTCTTCCTAACCCAGATAATGTGTGATTTCAGCTGGGTAAATGTAGGAGTCCTTGCTGCGGCTGCAGAGGGGCAGCTTGCAAATTAAACACACTGCCACAATCTGAAAGGTCCAGGTGGTCTGCTTGTGTTTCCTAATGCAATCCAGCACAACAGCTCCAATAAACAGCTCTGTTTAGTTCTCCCTTCCCTGTATCGAGGGAGGTGAAACTGGTCTGGGGCTGCTGTGATGAAATGCCAGAAGGACATCTCTCAAAGGCCTCACCAGCTGCTTTTTAGAGCTTTTCCGTTTTGCCGTCTTTGTCTTCCAAATGGGTCAGTGTGAGTCCTTCTCTTGATGTTTCATTTGGTTTTATATTTTTCTCAGAAGTCTGCATAGTCTCTGTGTATCTGTGTTTGTGTGTCTTGTATTATGCTTAGTGTTGCCTTACCAGATGATGATGATGATTTATTTATTTTTTTTGAAAAAAGGAATCATTGTCTTTTCATTTGGCTCCAAATTATTACGGAAAGTGATGAGAGAGACCTGCTGCAGAGAGGAGAGGCCAGTTTTCGATAGGAGCAGCAAATGGAAGAAGGGCTGGGGGGCGTTCTTTACATTTGCCAACAAAATGTTAAGTACTCAGCACCTGCTCATTAACCACTGACAAGTGTCAGTGCAAGAGAATAGACATTTACGAATCCTTTAAAAGTTTGTACTTCGTGTTTTAAAAATGCACAAAGATTAATGCGGCTAAAAGTAACTCTGCTGTATTTGTATTTCCAAAGTGGTAGGATGAAGAAAGAAGAAAATAGATGTTTTTAGTGTGTTTTTAAACTTGTTACAGTGAGATGCAGAAGTCTCACAGAGCACATGGTTTATTAATATCAGCATTTTCAGTAATGCATTTGAGGGGGAGAATGTCAGCTATGTAGTATCATATTTACTACAGCCTTACATTGCTGTAAATATTTTCAAAATAGATTTTTAAAACTCAAAGCCATCATGCATATGATGCTACCTAGGTTTAGTTAACAGGAGGCTAGTCATCAAAGAGCATACATATGAAAGCTGTACAAAGATAAAGATTTTAATGTATTATTCTGCAAATGTGTTCAGCAGAGCATACATATTTAGTAAGCACTGAAACAACTGTATCCTGGTTGATTATATATTTACAGATTTAATTTTTATTTAGAAATCTAAGTAGGAAGTTTAAACACTGTGTGAAGTCATCTGTAATGCAACTTTCCCTGAGCATATAAGAAAGTTTAAAGTAGCTATTTTACATTTGTGAATTGTTTAAAACAAAAGCAAAGCATGTCTGATATTTTCCTATTTTTGTTTTCAGTAAATTAAAGGTAGGCTAAATTCTTCTAAAAATAGCAATATTTATTTTTAAAATCCAAGCAGTTAAAGCATGAGTCCTTTAAACAATACAAAGCATTAATGAAATATACATCTGTCACTTGGTTTAGTACTTATTATGTAACTTGATGTGTAACTGATTTCCATAATCAAACTATTTTTACATTTAGCACATATGAATATAAAGCATGTATTATTAAAATATGCACACACATACATAGATGCAAGAGTACCTTGATAGCACTTTACTTATTTTAATGTCTTTTTAAAATGATATACTAGTAAAAGATAAACAGTAACAAAGTTTAGATTTTAATACCAAAATTTTGTTCTCCCCTTAGTGTAATGGGAAAAATGTTACAAGCACTTAAAGCCATAACATACATAAAAAGCAGCTACTTTCTGGTCAGATTAATGAAAATAATGATGTTAATTTCTCAGGGAAGTACAATTACACAGGTAATATCAGGAGTAAATAACTGTTGTACAACATGGATCACATTCTGTAAGGTGTATCTTAAAATTAAACATGCATACTTAAATACTGAAAGTCGGTAAGACAAAACTTCATATTTAAATCTATCTTTAAACAAAATGGTTCTTTTACACATTGAAATATCTGTGGCAGAAAAAGGTGTGTTCTAGAAATTTGCACATGCTCCTATGCATAGGAAACTTTTTTGGAAAAAAAGTATGATCTTTAAGTCTGTGATCAATAATTTATGTACACACAATAATTAGATTGTTTATAACACTACAACCATTTCAGCAATTGCCACATTACAAGATATGAATAGACACAATCAGGATTGTCAAACTTGTGTCTAGTAATGACAGCAGAATCAGAAATATTAAATACTTATTTGTAACTCAAATACAAATGTGAATATAAGACATGAGTGGAAACAAGTGGAAGGACCAGTGTTAAAAGGATCATCAGTTCAGGATGTGGCTTCATTTAATTAAATGAATTTCCTGATCTTTTTACCTTGATCCTTAGCTATCCCTAAGCACCACTCTCCAAATTGAATCATACTTGTAAGTGGTATTAGGTAGTAGAGAGAGCTAAAATGGAAACGATGGTACCTAGAGGCAAGGCGGACTGGGTTGGGAGGTACAAAATTGTTTGTGCAACTTCCCTTGTGAGTTCTTCCCATCCCCTCCTGAGCAAGCAATTAAGCTGCCAAATCCTCTGAAGAATATCCTACTTCCCTGGCATGTCAAGATTTAGAAGCCCATTGTGACTTTGAATCATAACTGAAGTGTTTGGAATCATAGCCTAATCCTTGACAGATGCACCACCCTTGCTAACATTCACTGCCACAATACTCCTTATTAGCCCAATTAAAAGGTTTTAAAAACAAGGAATTAGGGTAATAACAGGTATTGTGGCAGTGACTGTTAGGTGAAAGCAGTAAAATATATCCTTTCTCCATCTTACTCTTGCTCACTCTGCAGCGTAATTATTTTAATTATATGTGATCTTTCAACTTTGCTCAGTCACAGTCTTGGCTCAAACTTCCTTCTCTCTCCCTCTATCTTCCCCCAAGACCTGAGTTTGTGAGTGACAGGTTAGTTCATCAGTCTTACAGCCCTCCTGTTTTTGTCTCATCTCATGCAGACAGGTCACTGTGCCCAATCACCCTTCTGGCTATTTTGTCCCTTGGGAAACTAAAGCCAGCCTACCATCTTGATCCTCAGGCCTCGGGGCCCAAATCTAGCTGTACATTTGTATGTTTGCTGGATTTTTGCAAACATAATGGAATAGAAGAGATTAAATGAACTGGTGAAAGAAAAGGATGACATGAATTAGATAAAATGATCCCCATCAAATAGGAATGAGTGTGTGTGTGTGTTCCTATTGACATACTTACCTCTTATTGAAAGGTAGCAGGGGTGGAAAAATGATACTTACTTGATATTTGTAGCATTGTATTGGTTTAAACAACTTTTTATTTTAATCTCAAACGCTTGCTCTTTTGCAGTATTTCTTCCTTCTGTGTAGAAGACTAATGTATGAAACAAATAAATGAGGGATAGAAGGATATGCTTTGCTTTTAGATTTCCTTATCACTAATAAAAATGTGTAGCACAGTATCGCTACAATTTGATATTGATATTGATATATGTAATTCTGAATAGTTATCCAGTATGTATTTTGATGATAACACTGCTACTATATGCAAAGGTTCCTTGTATAACCTTTGAGGCTAACTGGCATTATAAGATTTCATAGATGTAAGCCTCCTTCATCTGATGAAGAAGTCTATGAAAGCTTATGCTACCAACTTCTTTCTCTCAGTTAGTCTCAAAGTGCTACAAGATCCCTTTGCAGACTAACATGGCTATGTCTTCTACCACTATTACAGTATGTGATGTTATCAGAAACTTTTGTTCAAAGGGCCCACACTAGAATAATCTTTCAATTCATATCTGACCACATTTGGTATAGCTTAAGTTATTCATCCCATTTAGTGTAACAAAGTATTGCAATTGTTACTATAGAATAGATTGCCAGTCCTCAGAATACTGATGCTGTTAAGTTTTACTTGGAAGAAAAAAATCCCATAATTGTAGTTTGCAGCACCAAACCTAATATTTTAGCCTTTGTAATTCCAGAAGAACAAGTAGCTGGTGAAATATTCCTTTCCATGCAAATCTTCAAGGTAAAGGAATACTCTCAGAGATCAGATCTAGCACATATATTTATATCTGTCGGTATATAAATATATCATCTTTTGCCTGAAACATTCATACATCTGAATCTCATTGAAAGTACTTTATAACTTATTTCTTTCAATATATATTTATTCAACCTATTCTTTCAGTGTGAGAGCCACTGTGGTGTAGTGGTTTGAGTGCTGGATTAAGACTCTAGAGATCAGGGTTCAGTTCCCAGCTCAGTCATGAAACCCACTGAGTGACTATGGGAAAGTCACACTTTCTCAGCCTCAGGGAAAGGCAATGGCAAACCTCCTCTGGATAAATCTTATCAAGAAAACCCCATGATAGGGTTGCTTTAGGGTTTCCATAAGTCAGAAATGACTTGAAGGCACACAACAACAATTCTTTCAATACAATAATAAGTTAGTTCACTGTTATGCTCTATATTATGGATGAAGCAGAACACTAAAGTGATGGTGAACAAGATGTTCTAGGTCTCAGTCCACTTCTCCATTTACAGATTACCCTGGATTTCCAGGAGGATTCCCTTTTTTTATTCCTTTAAAAAATCCTTTGTTTTCTCCTTGATAAAAATAATTTGGTCAAACTATAAATACAGTGATTGGCACGAAAAAGTCTTTTTCTTATCAAGAAAAGCAAACATATTTTCTAGGTGGTGAAGTGTGTGTTGATAAGTATGTGTACACCTTATATACCTGACTATAAATTGACTCACATATAAGTCAAGGGCAGATTTGGGGGCCAAAATTATGAATTTTGATAGGACCTGTGGATAAATTGAAAGAAAAAATTAGGGGCATGTAACAAAAGATATTAAGGATGAAACAAAGGAAAATGAGGCTAAAAACCTTACAAAATTCTGGCAGGCATAATGGTTTGTGCTCACCCTAAAAGCTAGATGGGAACTATGGTAAATGGTGGCTATGTGATCTGTGTGGGAGATGACCACGCACAGACAGGACTAAAATGTGATTTTAATGTGATAATTTTGCCTTATTTTAACTGAGAAAAGTTGACAAACATACACAGATGTCTTATTCAAATATCTCAAAGCCCGATTCCTCTTGATGCACCTTTGAGGGGAAGAGTCAAAGATCTGCCATTGCCATCATTTTGCTGCCTAGGTATTTGAAAAGGTCAGAAGTGGTGCCACAGTGGAGAAAGCAGAGGGAGTTGGTGCTTCTTTTAGGTGCTCCCAGAATGGACTAAACTCTCACTTTTCTCCCACCTTCTCAAAGAAGGGAATGGTTCCTTTTTTGAGTTAAAGGATAGTACTTACATTGACATATGGATAAGCTGACCCAGGTTTTTTGGCTCAATTTTTAAACTAAAATTTCTAGACTTAGACATGAGCATATACAATATATGTATGTGAGGAAACCTGATCTCTATACGTAAGATGTAAGTAATATATTGGGAATACATAAATACATTTGTAGGCACAGGATGAGGGAATCCTGCTACCCTATGCTTCCATTCCTACCCGGTGCATGGGATTTTTGCCTGGCTGATTAAGGGGTCTGAATAGACAGGCAGGATACCATGAGCCAAGCCTGTGGTGTCCTGCCCCTGGTTCTGACTCGGGTCAGTCCCTCTGGTTCATGTGGTGACAGATTGGTGTTTACATGCCCGTCCATCACCACACCAGGGAACCACTGCTGCCATATGCCTCTTTCCTGTCACCACCACTGTATCTTCCCATAAGACTTGTGGTGGCCCATAAAGATGGAAATGGGGTGCCTGGCTACACCACCATGGCCAGGTGCCCAATCCAATGTCACAGGCCATGCTGGGGCCTTCTGAGAAAACATGGCAGTGGCAGCAGGTAAGAAGGACATAGGGCCATGCAGTGCCCTGCTGTCACTGTGGAGTTTCCCTGAAACTCCACAGCAAACAGCAAGTCCTTTTGACCCACACTAAAGCCCCTTTGGGTCAGAATCAGTCCAGGACCACTGGATTAGCATCCAGACTGGCTAATTCCAACCCAGGGCTGTTGACCTACATCATCTGTACGGGGTGATGTGAGGCAGGGAAAACATGGACCTTTGGGGCTGTGCATACAGGCCCCAAGTGGAGTGGCCTCATGTCTACAAGGATATCCCTACTTATTGGTTTTTATGTCCAGTGCTTTCAATATACATGGCACACCTTTTAAAGAAGTACAAATATTGGAAGCATATATGCATTTCAACCCCAATGACTTTTTGATACCTTATTCATGTGCCAAACTTTATAATGCTTAGAGGAATTAAAACTGGGAAACAACCCTTCTTTTTCACACAAAAGTTGTTTTAAAATGTGTGTATGTTTAAAATGTGTTTCTTTAGGGACCTGATGCATACCAAAAAAACACCTAACTCTGTTTCTTATCTTTTCTATTTATATTTATTTACATGTATACAAATTTTCTTGGCAATTTCTCTTGGTCATGCATTCTCATTGCTTATGCTTGCCACAACTACATCGGTACATTTTGTTGCTTGTGGTGAAATGATGCTCCCTGCTGTAAAATTAATATATATATAATATTATATATATTAAATAAATATATTACTATATTAAATAACTATATTAAATAACTGATAATCTGATGCCCAGACAGATGCTGGTAGCAGATTTCTCACTCTGCCCAATGTTGAAGCTAGTCCTGGGCTTCCCTATACTTTGAAAAACTCTCTGTGTGTTTTATCTGTGTACCATCATAAGCATGCAAGATAGTTATAGACAGATGCATGTTGAATGATGTTTTGAGTGCAGCCAGAACAGTGTAAACGGTATTATGTCTAAAAATTTCTTTTCATATTTATAAATACCTTCGTACTTTGAAAACAAAATATCTCTGAAGAAATAACATTTTCTATTTCTCTAGCATACCCCCCTTCCCTAAAATTATTATTGTAACAAGATGCAGGAATGCTGCAATGATATTTTGCAATATAAACATTTGGTGTAGAAGAATTTTTGTATCTAGTTAATTTAATCTATGCAATTCTTTGGTCGTTGTCCTAGATTCCAGCTAAAGAATGTATTTGACTCTGGGCCTGTTCCTTTTACAGAAGGATTGTCTTTGAATAAATAAATAAATAAATCTAAAATGCTTTTTTATGTAAATAGTTTTCTTCTTGTTACATCAACTGACAGTAGACCCCTGAAAATGCATTTCTTACTAATTGGCCTTAAGAACTGGTTTTTAAAAATCCTGTTTGGCTTTTAATTGTGTGTTCAATATAACTGGTGGTAACTGAAAACAATTAGGAGGTCAAACTGCTTTTTAAAGCAAAGTGTTCAAATATTATCATTATGTTAACTCTTAGAAAAAAAAACACAATGCTTGCTTATATGACCTTTAAATTGTTGGATATGCTGCAGTCTTTCAGAGATATAGATGTTTATCTTTAGGCAACACATTTACATTCAAGTGCTTTTTTTGTGGTTCCTAGATTCTTTGCTGATAAGCTAAATACCAGCATAGGCTACTATATCTGTGTATAGAACACAGAAGAAACATTTATCTTATAAAGATCTGTAGCTGTAACAAGACTTAAAAACCCCCAAACAAGACAAACACAGTTTTGATCTGTCTGAATCTCAGAGAGATGAAAATAAAAATACCTGCTTAAAAAAACAAAAATAAATGGGCATTAATGTTTTTCTGGACAAAACCAATCATGGATGGAGATGGAGTGTAATATAATTGTGCTGATAAATATCTGAACAAAACCAGGTTTTTCATATCACTGTAGCTTAGAATAGCATTGTAGGTCCTCTCTCTCTCTCTCTCTCTCTCTCTATATATATATATATATGAAGTACAGTAGCCCCTCCTAATTCATGGGGGATCCATTCTGGACACACACACTCCACGAAAATGGCAACTCACAGATATTTGAGTTCCATAGGAAATAATGGTGCGTATGCCTGTGGCACGCAAAGGTTGTGTAACCATTTTGTTTATAGCCAATTGTTCCTCCCACAAAGAGTGAGACCACGGATTGTAAGTCCATGAAAAGGGAGGGACAAGTCTATTTGCTAGTAGAAAACTAGCATAAAAGAGAGCAACTACACTAAGATATTTCTTCCTAATAAGTTAATTTTACTATAGTGGAAACATCATAATGTGAACCCCAACCCAAAATCTAAAAAGGTGCAGTCAACTTTATCCTCTACATTCTGTAGCATGTGTTGTAATCTGCTGTCAAGTGCAACCAATGGTGACGATATGAATGAGAGACTTCCAAGAGCTCTGTTCATCATTTTGTAAATTCAGGGCTGTGGCTTCCTTGGTACCACCTTTTCCAGTGAGTAAGGTAATTTTATGACAGCAGTGTATGTAGATTAGGGGCCTTTGCAGACTGCCAGAAATAGTGCACATTAAATTGAGGCACTGCCCTGGCTCAGTGCTAGGGAGCCATGGGAATTGTATTTTTTTCTGAGACATTGAGCCTTCTCTGTCAGGGAGCTCTGGTGTCACAATAAATTACAGTTCCCATGATTCCCTAGCACTGAGCCAGGGCAGTGCCTCAATTTAAAGTGCACTATTTCTGGCAGTCTGCAAAGGCCCTAGGTCTTTTTATGACTAGTCACTTCTGTTTGTAAAGATGCTTTCATGAAGCCTGTCTCTTTAGATTGGCATTGATGTAGGATTGGGTTTCACACAATCATCCCATGATATGCTGAAACATTACATTACAGTTGTGAGAACAGACCCTAACAGCAGAGTGATCATTCACACTGTATGCCCAGTTTTAATGTAACTATGTGGTTTGAATTCCATGTCATGACTACTGGCTTCCATCTCATTGGGGCAGTGACTTACCTTCAGTGTAAACTTTATAGGAGCTATCCAAGCTACTGAACCTATTTTAATTATCAGTTCAACACCTTGGATAGTTCATGTAAAATTCAAACAAAAACCTTACAGCCATGGAAGCTGCTTCTGCCCAACTGATATTTTCACCACATTTTTACTTTATCACTGCAAGTCAGCCCTTAGATTGTTGATCTGTATTGGGGGAAAAAGAGCATTGGCCTTGTATAAAAACAGTCACAAGACCATTGCTGAAATGCAGCAAACTTTTTCACAAAACTTTTTATTATTTTTTATTATTGATTAAAATAAATTACTACAATAAAATCAATTCTTACATTCCATTCATATCTTAGCATAACATAACCATTCTTCCATCTTCCATTTAATAGTTCTTCCATCTTCCATTAACAAT